AACTTTATTCATAGTTGAACACTGAAATTTTATTTTAAATTTATTCTTTCAAGTTTTCAACCTTAAACGTTGTTTCATTCCCAAAGGTTCACGACGGTACGTAAATCCAAACAAATTCTATAGTGTCACTTTGTCTGATGATCTTAGCAAAATATAATTTCGGAATTACTTTGGGATTTGGTCATATTATGTACTAGATGAATAGCCCGCACCGTGTGCGGGTATAAGAAATTGTAGATAAATAAGAAATCTCAATACTTAATAATGCGAATTTACCAATCTAATTTTTTTAAATACATGATTGCAAGTTTAAACTTATATGCATGTATGAATATAATATGCGTTTGGATTTTTTTTTTTAATGTTTTGAATGTTATCTTAAAATTTTACGTATTTCATTTTGTAATTATTGTAGTTGGGTTGAAACAACAATATGTAAAATTTTGGAGCTTGTATTTTTAGTTTAGAATATATTGGAAAAGTTAGATATGGCAAAAAATAAAGGAACTAACACAACTACAAAACCTTAAAGAACAAAATATGAAACCAAACAAATGTTTTGAATGTTTTCTTTCGTTTTTCTCTGACTTTCTCTTCCTCTTGTCCCAAATTCTTTTATTTGTTCTTATTTATCGTTTTCGCCTTCTCTGAATTTTTTTTTCCCTTTTTCCGATTATTCGTCGGCTTTCTTCTTCTAATTTTACCTTTGTTACGTTTTACTTCTTTCACGATGTCTTTTTTTTCTAATTTTCATCATTCTTTTAAAACATATCATTTTGATACATGATGCTCTAGTAGATTTATGTATGCCATTTTTCAAAAAACAGATCATTTTTTCTTGATCTATCATAGTTTTTTTGTGAAAACAAAAAATAAAATAGATATTTTCAATATAAATATTTTTTTAAAACAAATATATATATAATTCGATCTAATTTAGGTGGATTTATATGCAAGAGATCTATGTAAGCTACTAAATATAAACAAATAGCAATTAGATTTTTTTTTGTAAAAGAGTTTGTTTGTTTCAAATTTCTATTAAATTACTTATTTCTTTTAGTATTGAGTATTTAAATAATTTTATTTTATTGATATTTAATTGAAATACTTTCATAAGTTATATTATTATCTATATAAAATTTTGATTAGTATACTATTGTACATTTTATATAAATATTGTGTTTTAGTTATAAAACATCTTATATATATGAACCGAGAAGCCATCCTACAGTATTTCAAATAAAAAACAAGATAACAATAAGCAAACTTTTCAAAAAAGTATATACCAAAGATACAAATTTTTAACCTACATATGATCCTTGATTTGAATGATCTTGTTGGCAAAGTTATATCACCATCTGAAAAATACAAATAAACAATTAGTATTAAATATAACACAAACGATATTACAAGGCATTCTTTGTAATCAAAGTTATAAACTGAACCGAGTTTTCCTTCACAACATAAGTATCCAAGTGAAACCTAAGAGAACGATTAGAACATAGTTCAACAAACTACGAATGATTAGTACATAATTTAAGATAGCGACGAACCTAAAGAAATATCTTATTGTTCTTGTTTTAACTCCATCGAAAATCTGTGAAAAGAAACTGAGATTTAAAAAATAGTTATGGAAAAGTTTGAACTAGTAAATTGAAAGTATCAGAATGTTGGTACTTACTTGAATAAGGGAGAAATAGTTGAATTTGATAARCATTTTTCCAATAATTCTCGATGCGCTAAAGTATTTGTTCCATGAAGATCGAGCTCCTAATAATGAAAAAACCAATGAATAATATTATAATCACTAAAGCCAGAACAAACAAATCATAGAGAAAAAAAGATAAAATTATACAAAATCGTCTTGTTTGTTGGATTTATTCTTCGTATTTATAGAGAGGCATATATTAGTTATGAAATATAGGGTTCGACGGTGAAAATCTTAACAAATAAAATCTAAATAATTTTTAATTARAATATTATGCTAGTTGTGAAATTAGRAATTCTTTTTATTATTATAYCGATTTATCATATGCACAATAAGAATTTAATCGTGCCTCTGGAACAACTTGCAGAGAAAGATTAGTTCCAAAGTAGGAATATTCGTTGGATTTCCAAATCCTAATTTTTGATAATCTCGCAGACAGATTTTCATATAAGTGATGTGAAAATTTATTTATTTTTACGATCAATGTGAAAATTTATTATTAACCATTTATTATCGAGATCCATTTCTGAGAGTATCTTAACAAATATTTAT